TTTTATTGTATTTAAATCCTCCCAGTTTTACATATTTAGACAGAAAAGTGGAACATAGTAAAGAACAAGAATTTTTGTGAAACACCTTGTGCTTTCCCCACTTTGCAATAATATAGTTCATCTTGTTGTGATTCAGACAATTATTCAACATGTGTTATACATAAACAGAGAATTGTTCTCCAGAATCATTAAGAAATGTATACTGTCTGAACAACTAGGTAGGAAGTTTGCTTTATGTTTGGAACCCGGGGAAGAATTAATACAATTATTCATCACAAATCCCTTTAATACATTTTAGAACATTTGTGTTGATGCAAAAATATTCCTTCACAGTTCAACTCATTGGCCCGTTTTCCCTCATTGTAAAGATTTCATCTTCTTCATCTCGAGTTGGAATTAAATCATCAACTTAAATATAAATTTAACTCAAATAAACACAAAAAAGAGGGAAAATAAAGGAGATAGTTTTGAGAATGGGGTCACGACATAAATCAAAACTTATTAGTTAAAGACCAATATATCACTAAGCTTTAGAGTATAAAAACAAGCTTGTAACACCGTCCCCAATATATCATGACTTTGGCAAGATTTTTGCAATACCAAAGATATGAAAAATGTTCCCATGAATGGGAAAGCAATTGAATTGAACTGGAAACCCAAAACATCAGCAAATCACCTGTGAAATGTTTCTGCGATTCGCATTGAACTAAGATAGCAGTAAAGTGTCATTTTAGACAATGTTGGCAGAACACTAGTAGGAAGAATACAATTTGCTAAATATAGCTGTAAATAATAACTCAAGGTCATGTCTAGTAAATATAGCATAAATAATTAGAGAAATAATAATAAATATATAATTAACTTACAAAAAAGGGCATGGCTAGAAGGAGACTAATTTCTACTTTGGTTTTTTTTGTTCAGAAATAATAAATATATAATTAACCAGTTTTCAATTTTCAGAAGTAGAAAACAAAGGGAGATTTTTCTACTTTGGTGATATGAGGGTCGTCCGCTGCTTAAATATTTTATCAATATACTTTATAATCTGCTTATAAATATAGGATGAGCATAGACCAGATTGTTCATATTACCAAGATTAAGAAGCTTTAGCAAATCATGAAGGTCCGTTGCTCTGTGCTTCGTCAATGGCGTCTTCTTCACTCGTCCGCAGCTCTAGCTCGAAGTCTTCTGCCGTTTTTGAGTGCTCCGTCTATCGCCCGTAGCTTCGTCGTCAATGCTCAATAGTCCGCAGTCCGTCACTCGTCACTTGGGAGAACAGGAGAAGAGAAGCTTCTTGACTCTAGGTTGATTTACTTGATTAGGGATTTAGGGCTCCACCTTGGTCCTTGGAAGTAGGGATGTCAAAAAAACCCGACCCGCAATGACCCGCCCTGGCCCGAGACATTTGGGGCGGGTCCGCCCCGCCCCGCCCCGCCTATACAATGGGGCGGGTCCGGGTATTAGAATTGACCCGTGTCGCCCCGACCCGCCCCGACCCGATCCGCTCAATATATAAGTATACATACTTTTTCTTAACTTATATTACAAATATACTTCAACATACATATGTGTATACAATAAATCATAAATTCTTTGATCTTATAATATATGAAATATACTTATGCAGTGTTTGCGGTTGCTTAAAAAAAGTGCTTTTCAGCTTTTGACTTTAAAAAAAGCTAAAAAGAGTGTTTTCAAATGACAGCTTCTGCTTAAATTAATCACTTAAAAGCTAAAAGCTGGAAGCAGGTGGAAGGGTGCTTTAAACTGCTTTTCACTTTTTCTATTACACAAAAAGTACTTATTTTACCAAACACTACCAACTTTTACTTTTTCAGAATCACTTTTTTCTCAAACACTACCAACTTTTACTATTAATCACTTTTCCCAAAATCACTTTAAAAAATCACTTTTTTAAAGTTGAAGTAATTCCAAACACTCCCTTAGAATGAGATGCACGACGGATTATCAATGTCTTCTTTATATATAGAATTTTAATACATATATTCAATTATTAATATAACTAATTAGATTAACTATTCAAGTTTGAGTAATTTTTCCTTAATTTTTGAATTTTTTAGCGTATCATGAATTTGATTTAATATATTGATTTTTAATTATTATTTAGAGATAAACATTATGTAGATTCAATTGGTAACAACTTCCCACAAATAAAAATACAAACTAGCTAATTAGCTAGGTTGCGACGGGGCGGACCCGCCCCGCCCCGCCCCGCATGGGGTGGGTCATGGGTCAACAAGTTTGGACCCGTGCAGGTCACGGGGCGGGGCGGACCCGCCCCGCCAAGTTACGGGGCAGGTCCGGGTCTTGCAATACCCGCCCCGGCCCGACCCATTGCCATGCCTACTTGGAAGAACTGGAGAAAAGCAGTATGCCCGTAGTATTAACTATTAAGATGGGGCTTGTTTTTTTAGTTTTGGGCCTTAGTATTTAACTAATTTCCTTTATGGGTTTGGCCCTAATACGTAGTAATTACAATTTTTATTTCGGTATTTCGGTATATACCGTACCATACCCAAAATTAACGGTATTTCGGTATATACTGAAATACCGAAAATTTTAAAAATCCATACCTTTATCGTACCGAAATGACCCGGTATGGTATCATACCGTACCGAACTTTTCAGTATACCGAAAATTTCGGTAAAATCGGTATTTTTCGGTATGGTATGGCCGGTATACCGAAATTTCGGTATATTTTCCCACCCCTAGATATATGTACTAGAGTTGATTGGATGGTTCAGCTAATATGTACACTATTTAGGGCATCTCCATCCATAGATTAATTTTGGGATCATTTTGATGACATGGATGATTTTTTTTGAGATCATGGATGAGGATTTATAAAATAATCTCATATCAAATTCTAAAACTGAATTATTTTCAACTTTTAGGCTCCCCTCTCCATTTTCTAGGCATATACTCATAATTAAAAAATCTAGGTAAATTAAGATCATGGATGAGGAGAAATTGATAGGTCTGGAGATTATTTATGATAATCTTATATGGAAGTGACATGACAATAAAAACCATAAAAAATCGTAAACTTGAGTATTATGAATGAAGATGCTCTTACACTAGTAGCTAAGAGTGAACCCCTTCAAATATATACTCCGTATGATTTAATGCATCTTCATCACCATTTATATGGCCAGCACTTTTGAGTTTTGACTCTATACCGTAGTATAACTTGAATGAGATGTTAAAGCTCTTTTTTCATTGAAAACTGATTTTTATACGTAGTAGTGAATAGTGATCCACTGCTCCGTATATTATAATCTTTAATTCTCGTCTCATAAATTTGTCAAAATTGACTTGCATATGGATTAAGAAAATAAACTTGTGCGATCGAGATTGTTGCATTGGACAGAAATAACTTTTAGTGCTTATTTGTGACGTTTAATGGATATAGCATATCTTTATACCGTTAAATCAAGAAAGTTGACAAAATCTTGTGAGGGGAGTGAAAATAATATGTAACAAGTACTCTCTTTTTATGATTTAAATATTCTATTTTACTAACTATATGTCTATATTATGTTTGTTTGTAATTAATATATTTCATTTTAAATGACTGAAATGAATTTTATGTTGTATATCTTGTATTCATGTGTATCATGTCCAAAAGGTAGGGGTGAGCATGGAACGGTACGGGACGGTTATTTTAAAAAACTTGTCTCGTCCCAAAGTACGCTTCTTTAATTTTAAAAAACAAAAAACCGGTACCATCCCGAATAAATATAGAACCTGTTATTAACTCCTAAATTCCTAAATTATTAACTCCCACAAAGTAAAAAATATTTTAAGTTTTAGCATTAATAACTAACTATACAAAAATTGAAGAGAAGAGACTGCAAGATCAAAATCAAACATAACTGAAATACAAAACTAATAGTCAAAACTATAATAACGAAGGTTAACATTCAACTAAAAATCGAAAGTGAGAGCCAAACTCAAGAAACAAAAGGTATGTCTTCACATAACAAATATAATATAATATAATATATAATATAATATTTGAGTAAAGCTTGGTTCTTTATAATGTCATACGGTTTTATATATAATATTATATATATATTTATATTATTCTATATATATAGCCAATTTTTCGGGACGATACGGGATGGTCCGGGACAGTTCGATTCAATACGGTTCGGGACGGTTCTGGAACGGTGCTCACTTAAGAACCGGTACCGTACCATATTAATAAAAAAATTTGGTACGATACGGTATTATATTTATCCTGTTTCGTTCGGTTCTGGTACGGTTCGGAACGGTTCTCGGTACGGAACGGGAAATCCCAGATCCGTGCTCAGCCCTACCAAAAGGAATGTGCCACTATAAGACGCGTACAATATGAAATGAGTATATGAGAATGAAGTTACATGGACTCTTAATTACAGAGTATTAATTATGGCGAATTAAAGATGAGTATACGCCAGTGGCGGATTTGGAGTATAAATTTTGAGTGTTCAATGTTCTTTTAATAGACATTTAAAGGGTAATAAATAAATATAATAAAATTTATACATATATATACCTACAATTTTTTACAAAAACTGGGTGTTCATTTGAACTAGTTTGAACAAGTGTGGCTCCGCAGGGGTATACACTATTTTCCTTTTATAAATCGTGTTGCTAGTACATTTCTTCCTATTACTGATTAGTGTAGATAAATGAAAGTTTTGGAAGTAAAATATACTCTGTATTTTTCACTTCTCAAGTACAAAAATCAGGGAAATAAAGTTTTTCATTGGGACGACGGTCTGGTAACCCTCACGCAGGGTTTGTGTTTTTGCCGACCTCTGTGTTTGGTGTGGGTTTTGATCGATGAAGCAAGTGTGGTGGTTGATTGATTTTCTCAATCTTGGGCTCTGGTTTGTCGGCGATGTGCCGGGATGTGGTTTTATTCTGGAGTATCCTCTACCGCAGGTGTTCATTGGGTCTCGCTCGGCGAGGCGCTACCGCACTGGTTCAGGGGGGGATGCATTGATGGATGGCGTCGACGGTCTCACCGAGGCGCTACCGCACAAAGGTTGATGGGCGGAGCACATGGATGCTGGGTTTCTTTCTACGTGATGGCAATTTGAGATTCAATTTGGGATGGAAATATTTCTTCTCTTTCATAGGTGTTGCAGTTCATAATGAGGGTGCAAGGCAGAATGAAGGTGGATCAAGGGAGCAGAAGAGGAGACGCACATGGGAAGCACAAGAGTTGGGTTTTGAGGAGGATGGTATGGCTCTTGACAAGGCAAAAAACAGGGAAGGGGTGGGCTGGTACCTCCAGACCCGCCCAAATCCATGAAGTTCTGGTGCTTTCTGCAGACCGAAGAACAATTCAATTTTAGTCTTGTTATTTTTTTTGTTTACAACTACGTGTGTTTTTGCTTGTGTTCGGTTTTACTAGCGTTGAAACTCTAGAACTTAAGGTAAGTGATGGGAGCCTAGTTTGCCAGTTACTCGCTCAGATAAGTCCAATTCAGGATCAACGAACCTGGTTGCTTCTTTTGAGGTGGCAGTTAAAAGGACCAACGAACCTGGTTGCTTCTTTCATGTGCGAAATGAAAAGTTACATTTTTTTGAAAAAAATTGTTCGATAAAATTGATAAGTCAAAAAACATGGGTCATCAAACGGTCTCTTATTCACATCCTCTGCTTTACTAAATAAAGCATCCACAATAAATATATAAATAAAACTATTTTAAATATCCAATCTACCCCGGCCTCCACCATATACTTTCAAGTGTGTTGGCTTCACTACACCACAACTTTCTGCTCCACCGTCGCCCTCCTTATACTCCTGCTCAGCCCGTGACTCTTCCACACCCTCTCCTCTTTCTTCAGAGGGCTTGCAACATCAAACTCTCTTCCTCGGGGTACCCCAGAGGAAGTACCCGTAAATGGCGCCCCAAACTAATCTGGTCAAACAATCTTACATGTGTAGATAGATTTGCACTTCATATCCCTGTTTAAGTTGCCTGGATGAGAGTTGTAACTTGTAAGAGGAGCTGTTCGTGTGGATTGATTTAAGTGGAAGAGCAATCTAGGTATTTTAGAAAGAAAAAAAATCTTAATTAATGTAAAATTTCATATAAGGTAAAACCTGTTTTTTTTTCTGTATCTTATATTCTAATTTGGATGGTGTTACAAACAGAAGGAATATGGAATCACCTTCCAAAGTACATTTGCGAACACAAAAAATATGTTACAAAATATTACTCCGTATGTCTGTGTGATATGCTAGTTTTTTTTTATACTCATTTTTATTATAATATCTGTTAGATCTTTGAGAGTTTCGACGATGTGACCTCCTTCTTGACATACTCCTATTCATTTCTTTCTTACTCTATCTCTCCTTAAATAATTAAACCTCATCTTTTATTTTTTCTTACGACACCATTTTTTAACGGAGTAATTTGAGTTTGCACCCTCATTTTATCGTCCAAATTGAAATATGTTGAAGGCCAACATAATAGTTAATGAAGGGGCATTTTGTCTTTTCACACGGGTTAGGGTCAGGGTCGTCTAATGAATTTGGAGGCCCCAGTTCTAAATATAAAATCAAAGCCCCAAATTAATATTCTTTTGGACTTATCTGAGCGAGTAACTGGCAAACTAGGCTCATTAAAAAGAACTAAAAAGAGTAAAAGGACCAACGAAAAAGTCATGCATCAGGATCAACGAACCTGGTTACATAGATGCATGATTTTTTCGTTGTAGCTTGAACGCAGTAGCTTGAAGTCTTGAACGTTGACTCGCTTTCAGTTTCCGTCTTTGTAGCTTGAACTTAGTTACGCAGGGGCAGACCGCTTGAGTTGGGACTTGGGGTCTTGGCATTTTGGCTTTCGGGGAGTTGTGGGCTGCCCCAGGAAAGGAATTTTGGGATTGGGCTGACACAAGGGAAAGAGCTAAGGTAAAGGGCTTCTGGAATTAGGCGGCAGGGGCTCAACTAATTAAATATTAATATATGTATATATATATATATATATATATATAGAGGAATGTTCATGTCAGGCCGGCCTGACGGGCTGCCCCGTCCGGCCGAGCCCGTTTGGGCACCTTCCCGGTGGAATTTTTTGATGAAATTTTTTGAGCATGTTCCTCATCAAGTCTAGTTTGTCCATACCAAATTTCAGCTTAAAATTCGATCGGGAAGGTCGTCAAATGATTTTTTCAAGTTAACTGGTCCGGAATATGTATTTTCCGGACCAGTTAACTTGCAAAAATCATTTGACGACCTTCCCGATCGAATTTTGAGCTGAAATTTGGTATGGACAAACTAGACTTGATGAGGAACATGCTCAAAAAATTTCATCAAAAAATTCCACCGGGAAGGTGCCCAAACGGGCTCGGCCGGACGGGGCAGCCCGTCAGGCCGGCCTGATGAGAAGAGCCCTCTATATATATATATATATATATATATATATATATATATATATATATATATATATATATATATATATATATATGTTATATATAAAAAAAATCACTGCAGGGGCACGAGCACCCGCGCATTAGGCTGGTTCCGCCCCTGACTAAATATGGTATGAGACAATATTAGTGGGACTTCTCAAAAAAGTAAAACGGGACAATATAAGGGGGGCGGATGGAGTATAATTTTTTCATAATTCAATAGATTCAGTCACTTTAACCAGATTTTTATCAATTTCAGCAGAATCAACCGATTAAGCCAATTACAATTTTTACAAAAAAAAAGAATGACACCTCTAAACAATACTCCGTAATGAATACCCAGAGAACATACGGAGTATAATATAGACACACATAATGACCCTCCCTAATTCCTAACCCGAATGCACCACCACCATGCATTTGGATTTTGGGACTCTTGAATTGAAGTCGTCGGTTGCTCTATTATTTTCATCACATAGAATGTGGCACAAGGAGAACTGTTTATGACCTAGGAACTCGTGTTACAATCCCAAGGTCTAACCCCACGGAGGATTCAATTCAACCGGTAAACGAAAGTATTAAGCTTTTAAGCCTTTGGAATTCAAATTCTCAAGTGCAGATAACATTCTGAGACAATTGTTCTACATGATCTGCTCAAACTATACAATCACTATTACAGTACAACTGAATGGTGAGCATGTCTACTCCACACGGATGAATTTGAATGACAACTGAAAACCGTATACATATATTTGCGACAATCAATACTTTTTCTATACCTCAAGAATCAGAAGAATTCCAAGGAATGGAGGGTTACACAAGGAGCTAGTAATTAGTTCGCCCTCTTCAGACAGTGAGCTGCAAGAAAGCCAAATGCATGGGTTAACTGTACCGAAGAGTGAAACAGGTAAGAAAGACATGTCGTAGAGAGCAACAGTGGATTTTTTGTGTGCTATCTAGTAGGAGTAAAATGGTGAAGAAATGAGTAGAGATTAGGAGATTTATTTCACTCCATAAGAGAGAAGGAACGAAAAGGAGGTGGAACCCACCATTTTGTTCTCTCCTCCCTATCTCTCTCTTATTACCAAACGAGAGAGATACCTTACTTTTTCTGTACTTCTTTCCCTTGCGTTTCTTCTACACCATATACGTACCAAACAAAGCCTTAAGGATGTCGAAGAAGGAGTTTAGAAGGGATGGCTTTAGAGGGCTTGGTCTAATCTTGAAACAAAATATTACTAAAAAGAATCACGTTTGATTGAAATGTCATATGATCACATATTTTGTTAAACTTGCTTTTTTATAGAAAATCACACACACATCATGATATAGACTTAGCCCTCCATAATCCTTCATCTAAGCATACCCCCTTAGATTCATGAAAGGAGTGGAATTGACAATATTATGCAAAGAATAGAAGTGACAATATTATACCATTATCCCCCTCTCAAGGCAGCAAACCGGGCAGCCAAATCTTCATAGTCTGGTAATTTTGGATGGACATGGCGTGCCTGATGGTCTGGCTGAAAGGAATTGGCACGTGCATACACCTTTGGTGTTTCTGAAGGAGAAGCCTGCTCATGCGGGAGAGAGATAGATCTTGTGGGGTGAGGAGGCGCACCACCAGACTTCATTTCCTGTGGTGTTTTATGGGTATTATTATCAACATCTCTCTGGTGTGAAGGCTTTTTCCTCAACTTATCTATGTCGTAGTCGGATGGTTTCCTACTATAGTGCAGAAGGAGTTTATCTATCATCACTTCCTCCTCGTCTCGATGTCGGTGGGGCTTACCATCATGATCCCCCACAGACTTGGGACGGCTACTCCTGACTGATTTCGGTTTGTGCAAGGGAATCTCATCCTTCGAAGCAACCTTGGTATGTTCTGATTCTTTACCATGGGAAGAGACACCAATGAGATACCCATTCGATTCAGAATGTTCAGATCCCCTGCTGGTTTTGTCTTTTGATTTGACATAGGGAGGAGGACGTCCATAGCCACAATGAGATTTTAAGCTATTATTATTATTATTATTCTCCTCATCCAGCAGCTCTTTAGTTGAGATCGCTTTCTTCTTTTCACTGACATCGCCGTATTTAATATTTTCCCGTTCTGTCTTTTCATGTTCACTATACACACCATTTGTCCCCCGCCTCCGCTGATGAGAATTATCATACTTCTCCATTTTGTGAGCTGGAATATCATTCTTTTCTGAAGCAGAATGGCTTCTTTCCTTGTTGGCAACTTGCTTAAATTCATTAACCCTTTCTTTCTTCCCAAATGAATGAACATCTTGCTTGCCATTAATGTCTCGCCCTTGAGTCTTTATCTGGTTATCCTTAGAAGCCTCGGGCTTTCCTACTGATAGAACATTTTTCGCAATTGTTTTGGAGACAATGCCCTTTTGGTTACCTTGGTTATAGTTTCCAGGAGAGTGTGAAGGTTCAATCTTGTTTGGCTTTCCCTGAAAATTAAGCAGCGTATGCAAACAAATAAAGATGTATTTTATTTAATGCTACATATTTATTTATATATAATGGCCAAAATGAAATCTTGTCAGGCACAATTGTATACAGTATCTTTTCTTGTTTCTTTTAGGTTATGTATGGAACACGGAAAATGGTAGGGTAAAGACTAAAGTCGAAAATGAATATGGTTTTAAAATGTTTGGTTTACCTTGTGAAGCACAAAGGAAGGATTAGTACTTAAATTAAAATTTTACCTTCATTTAGATTTGCTACTCATATGGTCCGAATACAAAAATAAAATGAGTGAACAAGTATCTAAATTTGATTTACAGAGCTTAAATGAATTTTTAATTTTTGCTAGCACTTCTCAGGTTGTAAACAAACCCTTAAAATTGATAGTTGCATGCTATATACATATATACCTCTGCGTATGCCATCCTCTGTTGAAGGCCCGCTGAGTCCCATCGTATTTGAAATTCTGAAGCTATGTCTTGCAATAGCTGGATTCTCTTCTCCATGGCAGGTGTTTTTGAAGATAATTGCTCTACAAACTAGCCACAATGACTAGAGCTAGTGAGAAAAACTAAACGATGTGTAATTCAACACATCACATACATGAATTGTGGAGTTGCTGAATTGCTAACCTTCTGATTAACAAAACATTCTAAGCCACTCCCATATTTCTCCAAAATTAGATCCCTGATATCGCGTAATTCTGGCAAATCAGAGAATCTTGCAGCTGCAAACATAAGGGAAGCCACAGCTTCTCGGCATTCTTCAGGGCAATCACTGGAACACAATTGAATAATAAAGTGATAGTCAACAGTAATGGGACCATACCAAAATATATCCTACGCATTGTTCTTTTCTAAGATTGGTTTCTGTACACACCAATCACCATTGTACAAACTTTTAAATCTTGAATTCACTAACTTGTTCATCGCAAAAAAAAAACACCATCATTTGTGTGTGTATATAGTTTATTTTCAGAAGACAACCAGCCCTTAACATGAGTAAAAACCAGTAAAGATGAACAATTGAAATATTTAGGAATAAGCATTGCGTAAACAGTTCAAATAAAAGTTGAAATTATGAAAAGTTAAGCACAAAATTAGGTATATTGACTAAGATTGTCAGTATCAGCACTAGTGGAGTAATGGAGTACTGGTGCATCTTTAAAATTTCAGATATCAAATAACTTATCCCCATTTCATAGTTGGACTAAATGAATTCTTGTCACTAGAAGTAGATAAGGTTTTTAAAGCAGAAAATTTATATCACCATCTACAGGTTATGGTTGTTGAAATCCTTGTATTTTCAGAGTATCAGGTAGTTCAGAAAAGTATTTAAGTACATTCATAATTCCGTGTAGTAGGCTTAAAGTTAAAGACACATAATATTCTATACAAGATCAATTAAATTGATCAATTGAAAAAAAGTGGTGCAATCACAGCTTCCTTAGTAATTACCTTTGTTTTTGCATGTTTGAGAGCTGCTTCATAATGTACTCACAAGATAGTTCAATGTAACCATAGCAAGATAATATGCGTTCACCAGCCATAAATTCTTCAGTCTGTCCACACACATCAAGAAAACAACATGTAACTCTGTAATTTTGTAAAAAAATCACAATTAAACCCAAAAAATACTAGGTACATAGTAGTTGATAAGCTTCTTATTCACTTTTTTTAGCACAGAGTTCCTCGATTTGCATCATAGAGTGAATACGTGTACGTTAAAATTCTTTCTAGCAGAAACGACATAATCTATATAGGTTTTTTGAACATAACAGGCTTATACTACGTTATATATATAATAATACATTATTTCATTTTAAAATATTCCCTCCTACAGTCCTACAGTTCTAATTTCTAGTTTACTGGCTGGTTTTAGCCTTCAAAACATTGAATAAAAGAAGAAGTAGTGGTGGTGATAGAAAAGCAGCCCGTTAACGAAAAAAATTGAAATTATTTGAAATGCGGAAGACATTAAATCAAGCGAAATAAGA